TCTACACTAGATGTCATACCTGCAACCCGACTAGGGGGTTACCTATTTAAACTCTCTGCGCCTATGTGAGTTACCTATTATTATTATTATTATTATTATTATTATTATTATTATTTTTATGCTTTAATTTAGATAATTCATATTGATTCTACGCATAATACGAATCATCATAAATACGCCCTTTTTACAATTTTAATACGGCATCCCTATAGCGGTCAAGGTGTTCCATTAGCATGGTTATTAACAGAATCTCAAGACTCTGAAACAATCAAGCTATGGCTTCATGCTTTGAAAGAGGATGTTTGGATTGACCCGGTAAATGTAATCTTGGATAATGATGATGCAAAAATTAGTACAATCTGTGATATTTTTACTATGTCAAATATTTTTTTATGTTGGTGGCATGTCAAACGTGTATGGCGTAGATGGATTAATAAACAAATACCAGGAAAAGAGCGCAATAATTTGTTTCAAGATCTAAATCAACTACTTAGTATTTCTGATAAAAGTGAAGTAAATAATGCTCTTATTAAATTTGAGCAAAAATGGCAACATACAGCTGCGGTACAATATTTTAATGCTCAATATCGATAAAAAAAAGGTGAGTTATTTTCTATTATCTCTAAATATAGATATGATCATTTTTTTTTTTGTCTTTTGTAATACTCAAAATAAATTAATACGACAAAAAATTGCTACTATGTAAATGCCAGATGCTTATTCTTTTTTAATTGTAAAAAAATATTATTTATTAGAAATGTGGATAGAATATTATCACCGTAAACTAGTTCGTGGAACAAATACATAGAGGCGTATCATAAAAAATCAAATATATCTACCTTATGACTCGGCTTAATAGAAGAATAGATTTTTTTATTAATGAGTTAGTAACTAAAATATTATCTGACTATCATCAACAAACAATTCAGCATGAGTTAGGTGTTAGGAGAATGAATTCACACTATAAAGTTTGGAGGCAATTTGAATTAAATTCTGTTGCCATTGATAATGGTTCAATTTTTCACTTAAATGAGTCTACATATTTTGTCAAATCAACTCAGAGTGAGAATGATTATATGATTGAGCAAATGGGAGATAATGCATTAACCCTTACCTGTAATTGTGAAGCATATATAGGAAATCCAGTACCTTGCAAACATATATTCGTTGTCACGCGTAAATATAGTATTAAAATCCCTGAACAAACCACTTACTTACCCCTACTTAATGACGATGAACAATTTACTATCGACAACTCAATTATTAGGATTCAAGAAAATAACTTTAAAAAAAAGATTGAAGAAATGAATCACCATATTAACCAACAGCTAGAAAGGTTAGACAATCTTTGTCAAAAAATGGATCTGAACAGTATACCTTTAGAAAAAAAAGAAGATATTGCTAATAAGCTGGAAGAAGTACATTATATTCTTTCTCAATATTAATTACCGGTGAGCAATATAGCCTTGGATTCTGCTATAGACATGAC